GAAAGAGAAGAGTAAAGGGAAAGTAAGGATATGTGAATGGTGCAGGGAAACATGTTTGAAGAAGAAATTGAGAATTATTATTAATTAATTATTATTATTAATATTAAGGTTGAGGTACAATGAAAGGATTTTATCCATTCTTAGTAGTGCCACAAAGAATTAGGGTGTCTGGTAGAAATTTTGAAGTGTAGATTTTATTTTAATATAAGGAAGAATTTTCTAATGATTAGGATTTTTCAAAATGAAAAGGACTGATGTAATTAGGCAAAAGATACACATAGATTTTTGAGGGGGTGTATTTAAGGAGAGATTAAATAAACTCTTAATGAGGATGTGGTAAAGTGCAGATCTGAAGGAGAATATAATTATGGTCTCCTTTTTTTTTTTTGCGGTACGCGGGCCTCTCACTGTTGTGGCCTCTCCCGTTGCGGAGCACAGGCTCCAGACGTGCAGGCTCAGCGGCCATGGCTCACGGGCCCAGCCGCTCCGCAACATGTGGGATCTTCCTGGACCGGGGCACGAACCCGTGTCCCCTGCATCGGCAGGCGGACTCTCAACCACTGCGCCACCAGGGAAGCCCTGGTCTCCTCTTTGTTCCAAAATTTTATAGGGATTATAAATAAGGAACTAAAAACACTCTTCTTTTTAAATTAAACCTGCTATTCATAGATATATTCTACTGAGTTCTTATCCAGACAACCCAATGACCACTAGACAATAAGTCTGTATTTACTAAAATACAAATAACAAAATGCTGGTGTAAATTAGGTTGTAGGTTATGAAGTATTTTCACGTACATGATTTCATTTAATTTATTTTCGCACAATTCCAATAGGTAGAGCAGTATTTGCAATCCCAGTTTAGAGAAGGAAATGGAAGCTATGAGATTAAAAATCTGTTCAACCTCATAGAGTACATACTAAATGGGGGAGCTGGGGTTTGTATTGTGGTTGCTGATATATGTGCCTTTTTGTTCACAATCAATAACTACATTTCAAATAAGTAAATAAAATATCAATAAAAATCAAAACAGCACATAAAACATCATTCTAAAAACAATAGGATGTAGTCTTGGCTTTAAAATATTGAGATTATATTGTTTCTTCCTGAGACTTAAGTAGTTTTTTTTCCCCTTTAGAATATTTTTAACGTATTGACTAGAAACTTTTCCTAATCGAGAGAATGTTGGAGTGAATGTTGGATGAACATTCAAAACCGTGTATTTACAAGATGAATGAAATGTGTTCTGTGGTCCAGTTATTTTCTTTTGTGTTCAACTTGTGCGAAGTCTCTGAAACACTCAGCTCCTGTGTCCCAACGAGCTCTGTCAGTGTCCGTACGTTTGGTCTCCTTCAGGAAATATTGAAGTTGGGGTTTTCATCACTTCTCAAGACAGGGAGGGTTGCTTCAAAGAACAAGGCCAGTTTTGAGATGTTATTGCCCACATAAAACCATTTAACTACATGGTTAAATATAGTTATTATTCAAAAATATGAGTGAAAAAGAGCCTCTGTTATAGAATACATGTTTGGACTTTAAATCAGACTTTCAAGTCTAGTTCATCATCATACTGACATAAATATCATTAAAGGCCAAACCAACAAGGTTCTGGTGAAAAGATCAGAAAGAGAGAAATGGTTTGAGTGCTTTTTTTCTGTTTAGCTTATAAGAATATCGCTAATTTGGTTTTAGGACACAATACTAAACAGGAATATTATATAACATATAACCTAGAATCTCTTATTTTTACTTTTAATATAAGGACTATTTAGGTGTCCAGTTTTTTTTTTAAACATTCTGTAGCAATTCTAGGATTAAAGGATGCATTGGCGGAAAGATAGAGACAAGTACATCCTGTCTCAGGATTTGTCTGTTTTGGGGGATGCAGTTTTTCTCTGCCTCCTACAGATCTGGCAAGGCTTAAGGAAAAACAAAAAACTCCCAAAGATCAGATAACAGAGTAGACAATGAGCTCAGATAAATTTGTATTCTCTGCTGCACCATACATCACCACTGTCTGTGTGGTTCCAGTGAGGTTTATGTGATGGAAAGTTCCTGCCTTATTTGTTCTATTTCTTAAAAAAAAAAATCAAGAGAGGTGTTTGTATTTTTCTTTGCAGGAAAAAAATTGCTTTATGTTGATAAGGTGTAAAAGTCACACAGACTTTATTATAGAGTTTAGGTAATGCGGAAAAAGGTTTTTAAAAAGAGGACAGGGCTTCCCTGGTGGCGCAGTGGTTGAGAATCCACCTGCCAGGGCAGGGGACAGGGGTTCAACCCCTGGTCCGGGAAGATCCCACACGCCGCGGAGCAACTAAGCCCATGCACCACAACTACTGAGCCAGCGCTCTAGAGCCCGCGAGCCACAGCTAGTGAGCCCACATGCCACAACTACTGAAGCCCGCGCGCCTAGAGCCCGTGCTCCGCAGCAACAGAAGCCACTGCAGTGAGAAACACGCGCACCTCAATGAAGAGTAGCCCTCGCTCGCCGCAACTAGAGAAAGCTCATGCACAGCAAAGACCCAACGCAGCCAAAAATAAATAAATTGAAAAAAAGAAGAGGACGAAAGCAATCACCCCAAATTCTGTTAGAAATAAGCAACACTAACATTAATGGAATGTCATTACAGACATTTTTCTATGTAGGTATTGATATGAAGATGAATAGAGTAGAGTTAGAAAGATTATAATTTGTGCACTGCTTTAAACAAAAATATTAAAATTTAATTTTGTTTTATCAGAAGAAAAAGAAACTAAATCAAAACTGAATAATTATTGAACAAATAAGCATTGCTATTGTTTTTAACTACAAGAGATAATATTGTATAAAGGAGCTCTCAAATTGTTGAGCAAATAGATCATAAAAGATATTAACACATTTTTTTAAAAAACATGTTTCAGTTTTAGATCATAAAGATGAGGACATTCACACTTTCACATTTTCTCCCAACCTCCCTTTTGTACCTCCAAATATGTGTTATTTATATTAGAATTTTTGTATTCTCAAGATTTTAAATTTTCACATTTAATTCTAAAACAAAATTTCCACAATATTT